AACTTGTGTATTTAAATTAAAGCACTAAATTTACATTTATTTTTAAATATCCGATCACTTAACTTTTAAGTTATTTCCATAAGTTGTGGTCCTCGGCTGGTTTTATCATTCACCACTGTGTCTGATCGTGTGCAGGTTTTCGAGTTGACCGTTTCAGCACCGCTCAAGTGGACAGCGACTCCCACATAGGCCACGTTAATCGATTTTGAAAAAATAAAAAAAAGACATTTCCTCAAGACGGTAACAAATAACAATACCTAAACATTTAAATAACATATTTATCTGTTAGTAGATGTTTTATCTTTGTTTTGTTTTACATTTTCCAGAATTATTTATCTTCCCACAGACATCCTAAATTTGTTGTGACTAATATGTTCTATGATGAAAATGCTGTGATGATATAAGGAGTTTCGGGTGTTTTCAATCCTTCTATCATGGCAGTGCAAAAGCCTCATTGTGTCTTTAACGATGCTGCACCGTTGCCTTCTCATTGGATGTCAGCGATGGATGCTGTGCACCAATAGCATTCAGAACTGTACAAAGAGATCTACTCTCTCCCCCATGCAGCTTCAGCCATCACAATGCTCAGAGAGGATAGAGAGTAGGCAAATGGTTCATACACTTTGAGTATAAGATTAAATCTTAATCATATCTTTAGCTATAAAAACGTATCATTCCAATGGGATATGTCGCGCTTTTGGAATACGGATTTTTGCTTTATGGGCTCCGTTCTTTGTGGATATTGTGTTTTTTGTTAATCCAGGGATGACAAAGAGGAAGGAATATCGAGACTGGAGATGGCAGGCGCTTTGGTGGCATCATTTCTTCCTCTTGTGGACTACAGTAAACGCACAGACTCGTTACAGTATCCAAGAGGAGCTAAAACAGGGCTCTGTGGTAGGAAATCTTGCCAAAGATCTGGGTTTGGGACTTTCGGACATTTATGACCGTAAATTGCGCGTTGCTTCTGAGGCTGGAAAGCAGTATTTCAGTGTGGATGCGGGGAAGGGCGAGCTCGTGGTGAATGACAGAATAGACAGAGAGGCTTTATGCGGACAAAGCGCCAGCTGTGTTTTGCCTTTGCAGGTGGTCATTGAAGATCCGTTACAGTTACATCGAATTGAGGTGGAAATACAAGATATTAATGACAATTCTCCACGTTTTCTATCAAATGAATTGTCTTTGAACATAGCCGAGTCAGCAGCAGTGGGTACACGCTTCCCTTTAGAGAGCGCATCTGACCCAGACGTTGGAAGCAATTCCCTTAAATCATACACACTCAGTAAAAATGAATGTTGTTCCCTTAGAATAAAAGAAATCGAGGGTGGGAAAACCGTCCCGGAACTTGTATTAGAAAAGCCTCTAGATCGAGAGAAAAAATCAGTCCACAAAATATTACTAACAGCATTAGATGGGGGGAATCCAGTAAGATCCGGAACCACACAAATAACCATAAGCGTTCTTGACAATAATGACAATTTTCCGGTTTTTGAAAAGAATCTCTATAAAGTGTCCCTGGGTGAAAAAAGTGTACAAGGAACTGTTGTTATTCAACCCAAAGCGTCAGATGCAGATGAAGGTTTAAATGGCCAAATTACATTCTCGTTTGGCTCTCGGACGCCAGACTCGGTGTTGTCGGTCTTTGATATTAACCCTTCAACCGGTGAAATCATTCTGAAAGGGGAGTTAGATTATGAAACTGCCAAGTCATATGACATTGATGTGACTGCAAAAGATAAAGGTAGTCCTCAGATGGAGGGTCACTGCCGCGTGCAGGTTGATATTACTGATTTCAATGATAATGCTCCCGAAATAGTTTTCACTTCTCAGCCCAAGCCATTGCGTGAAGACGCACCAAGTGGGACAGTTGTGGCTTTGATTAGTGCGCGAGACCTTGACTCTGCTGATAACGGTAAAGTAACGTTGCAAATTACCAAGGGCCCTCCCTTTGCTTTGAAACCTTCGTATTCTAATAATTATGCGCTGGTTACCAGTGGGACCTTAGACAGAGAACGATTTTCAGAATATAATATTGAAATTACAGCCACTGATTCAGGCTCTCCTGCCTTGACCAGTAAAAAAAATATACCTGTTATTATCACTGATGTTAATGATAACCCTCCTGTATTCACTCAACGAAATTATAATGTGTATTTAAAAGAGAATGGAGTACC